AGCTGAGAAGCCAAGTGTCCCATTACTTTTGGTCCCTTAACAAGTGGGAGGCACATATGCAAACTGTTGGAATTCCTACACCATTCACCTGATGTGGATGTAAATACCTTCAAATTAAAGCTGACAGACTGCAGTTAAAGCACATCTTGTTCGTTTCATTTCAAATCCATTGTGGTGGTGTATAGAGCCAAAAATGTTAGAATTGTGTCCAGGTCCCAATATTTATGGACCTGACTGTATAAAAATACAGGGAACAACTTCATTTTTATTAAAATATTTTGGTCAAAGAGGCTTAGGGGAAGGTTGCCCCAGGCTCTCAACCTCTGCCTAATGACTTGCATAACCGGGTACAAATTGAGTTGACAGTAGTCACAAACATTGTAAGAACATGTAATTACTAAATAACGCAAAAAGGAGACCCAAGCCAGGGAAGAGCCGGGTTCGTCACCTGCTGTGCCCCAGGGTCTGTAGGGAGGATTTGGGATTTCTCCCAATTGGTCCAAATACCTGAAATATTAGCAAAGGAGGACAAAATGTCTAATGCAGCAGAGAGTGATGGAACAAAGTAATTCAGGAATAACATCACATTGTCGGCATATAGTGCCAGTTTTTCAGTGGTAGAAGTCTTTTTTATGAGAGTTACAGAGTTGGATCCATTTTATGCCCATTGACTGAACTTTGCCAGAACCCAAAGAACCCAGGATTTTTTTTAGACCCCATTCATATCTCACATAGTGGGAACGAGTATTCCTTCTTGTGATTTTTAAAGCAAGATTTACACACATATATGCATGTCACGCACATGGCAGCCCATTCACTTTAATGGGCTGCCCTATGAGCGTTTCTCATCCAAAAGAAGCTCCTGCTCTTTTATGGGTGAAGAGCTTTTTAAAACCCAACTCCAGGAAAAAAAAAAGGTTTTTCCTTGCATTGGGGCTTAGCCCGGACTGCACAGGAAACTGCTCGATTTTGTCCAGGGTAGAGGAGAACAGAGATATACTTATAGTCCATTCTCCCATATGGACAGGCGGGTGTGAACAAATTTGTGTCTGTTTACACCCGTCTACCTCTGATCCATTCTAGCAAAAAAAGGAGAAAGAAGCTGTCCTCTTCCGTTTAGGCGAAGCAGATTGGAGGGCAGTCAGGTATAAACTGTCAGCAGAGTCCGTTTACTCTGGCTGCCCATATAGCAGAGCGGGCTCTGCATAAACTGATCTGCCCTCCGCCCGCTCTGTTCCAACCAGCAGGGGATTTTTGAGCAGATCCCCTGCTGATCAGGACAGAGTCTGTCCTCTCTGAAAGGGGCCTTATTGTCTTTTCTTTTGTAAAATCTTTTTCTTTAAATATTTTGTCTTCTTTTTAAATATTGTTAAAATTATCTCTAATGCACTAAGCCAGAACGTAACGTAAATAATCCCGGTCGTTTTGAAGAGTGTTGCAGCTGCTGCACCCTTTATGTAATCAGTGGTCTCTCTGCAGCAGTCTCCCTGTCTTGTCAGAGCTGCAATTCTGCAATGGACAGAAATCATGAGTCAGAGTGCTAGTCAGTGGGATTGTGTTAAACCTTTGTACAGAGCCAGCTGCTCTCACTGATGCCCTGGTGGAAGACTTTTGCTTGAATCAAAGTTGAATTAAAGTACACATGTACCCATATGATAGACATTAAAGTGACTGTAATGTAATTTTTTTAAAACAACAAACTTGATATACTTACCTCCTCTGTGTAATGGAATTGCACAGAGCAGCCTCGATCCTCCTCTTCTTGAGTTCCCTGCTGGCGGTCCTGGCTCCTCCTCTTCTTGGTGTGCCACCATATGAAGCCGTTTCCTGCATCTATAGACATGACTCCGCTCCCGCGTCACAGGATTTGACTGACAGCAGCAGATCCAATGGTGTCAGCATAGCCCATGAGAGTGGGGAGAGCTACTACAGATCAGCACAGCGTTGCACTGAATGATAGCTCAGGTAAGTAAAAGGGGGTGAAAGGGTGATACTGTTACCTAAAAATTTTTTACCTTAATGCAGGGAATGCAATAAGGTAAAAAATGTTTGGGCTTTAGGACCACTTTAAAGTACTAACATATTATTAACACATAGTAAAAAGGTGTTAAAACAAGCCATCATTGACCTCTAAAGTTAGGTTCATGACCTTCATCCTCGAAGGCACAAAGCCCTAAATGCTGGTAATACTCAATACAGCTTTCAACCCCTTCCACAGTAACACCATTTTTGCCAAGGGTCTTCTGGCTGGTCTGATGACATCATGGGTGCTTACTCCTCTCCTGCAGTGACAGCAGGGGTGGTTCATATGACTGCACTGAACGGTGCTCAGGTAATGAAGTGTGGGGCTTTGAAAAACAGTAATAATCCAGTCAAGCCTGCAAGATGACACCCTGCCCCAGGAGTGCTTCCATGACAGTCTCAAGAGTAAAACTTACATCTAGTGGTGGTTCAGGTTTAGTTTAAAGTTGTTGTTTTTTTTAGTTTAATAGGGTACTAGGGTTTTTTGGCTGTAACATGAGGTATAACATAAGTGTAACCATGCTATATGTGACCATATCTATATAAAATGTTTAAAGTGATATTAAAAGTAATTAAAGGTTTAAACCTGTCATACTTACCTGCTCTGTGCAATGGTTTTGCACAGAGCATCCCCACTCCTCTCCTTCTTGGGTCCCCTGCCGGCGCTCCTAGCTCCTTGACCAGTGCCCCCAATAGCAAGCAACGTGCTATAAGGATAACTGATGCATGCTCCACAGTGATCCAATCAGTGATCACATGATCAGGACCTCACACAGAGATCCCATACAACAAATCGGTGTGCTGGTCCCAGGGAGGATGTTTATAAACAACCACCCGCCCCTGCACTGCTCCTGTCCGGCCGTTTATATACATGGGCCAGATGGGACGTGGTTAAAGGCATAAAGGGACATGATTAAAAAAAAAATGTGTAAATGCATTGAAAAACAATTAATCCGTTCCAGAGGTCAGAAAAAAGTAAAAAAAAAATGTTTTATCTGTTCAAAACTCTTTATAACGTTCACTGTAGCCTCCCTAGCGGTCTGATTATGTCAGTATTTCTGTGCTCAAAGCAGTACATTTCTTTGCATGGAAATATGTTGTTTTTTTATTGTTGGCTTGTAATTTTTAGGAATAACTCACTGAAATCTGTCCGAACAAAAGTCTAGCAAACATCCCGGGTATGTTAAAATTTGAATCACGAAATCATAAATTATAATTTAATAAATAATCATAAAAATAATAATATAATAATAATAAATCTAGTTCAATAATATAATCAAACCAAAAACACTGAAATTTTAAATAGAGCGCTAAGTTCGCACAATACTGAGCGAAGTCGCAGAATCGTTTTCAGTGTCTGATGACGAATTTCCCCACAAATTATTATCACTCAATTCTGCAAGTGGTTCTAATTTACTATCGCTGTTCTCTAGCTGATCTAAAACCGCTTTTGACCTAAAGGAACGCTTTTTGGACGCCATGGACATTTCTCAGTTTCCAGGCAGAAAGAACAGACAAAATGCAGGCAGGGCACAGGACAAAGCACTAGGGACAAAATGTATGTGAAATGGTTTGATACAGTAATGTTTTACTATGTGATTTTTCACATTTTTAAATTTCCCACCGCTCCGTCCCTGTGCGTCTTGACGTCGCAGGGAACGGAACCCAGAAGACGGATGCCGGCATCGGCCGGAGGACATTGCCGGGGACACTGCAGGAGGGACATCGCGGGAGCGCAGGACAAGGTAAGTGCAGAAGTGATCCCGGAGCAGCGCCACATGGTAAGCCTGAGTGTAGCTCGGGGTTACCGCTTGTGGTACTGAAACTTTACCCCGAACTACACTCAGGAATACCGCCAGGGAGGTTAAAGGCATAAAGGGACATGATTAAAAAAAAATGTGTAAATTCACTGAAAACCAATTAATCCGTTCCGGAGGTCAGAAAAAAGTCAAAAAGAAGTCTTATCTGTTCAAAACTCTTTATAAAGTGCACTTTAAAGGCATAGTACTGTACAGGGACGTTTACAAAAAAAAATTGTAAATGCATTGAAAACCAATTAATCTGTTCGTATTGTGAAAAAGATTCGTAAACCGAGCCATTATTTTCATTCATAAACCGAAAATTACATTAACCCCTTCCCGCCGGCGCCTCCTGGCCCTTCAAGAGTTTCAGCCGCCGGAAGGCGGGGCATGGTTTAGGGATCATGTGACCGCCGTGATGCGTCGTCACAGTGGTCACATGATCAGGAAAGGTCCCGATCAAAAGAGCAGACCGAGACCTTTCCGCGAGTACCAAACATGTGTGCCGGGAGAGCGCAGGGTGCACGCTCTCAGCACATATGTTTTTTCTTACATTAACGCAAATGTGCGGCCGCTCAGCGTCTAGGCCCAGACACCGGGATGCCTCACATTTGTGTGTGGCTGGCGTAAAGGGGTTAACCGTGGTGTTTGGAAACCAATGTACGCCTGTATATATATTTACAATATACATTTGGATATATATATATCTCTAATTGTGAAAGTACCCAGGAAGGAGCCCTGCCAGTGCCCATACTTGTTCTAGTACAGGACTCCACCTCATACAAAAGGATAAGGAAAGGCCTCAGAACCTCTACTAACATCTCTCAAGCTGCAGCTGCTATCCTGACGACTTTCTTTGTATGCAGCACTCTGGAAACAGTTGGAATCATTCCTTCCGCTGTGTAAGATTCTAATAACCACAAGACAAGATAACAGCATATTCTGAACCCTGCACCGCTCTGACCACCAACGTTTGCTACTCAGAGACGGAATCACGTCATCGAGCATCAGCTTCCTTGGTCTAAGGGAGGCAGCGAGCTGCCTGTGTGACTGTATACGGGCTCGGCTCTCGGCTGCTCTGGTCTGGTTCCGGGATGTAGTGACAGTGAGTGGCTGAGCTCCACGTGACTGGGTGGCAGTAGCCGTGCAGGGTGGCGGAGGGATGCCATCTGTTTGGCCATGCTGCTGAAACTCCTGCAGAGACAGACCTATACCTGCCTGTCCCACAGGTATGGGCTGTATCTCTGCTTTGGGGGCATGGTGCTGATGATCGTCTCTGCTCTGCAGTTCGGAGAGGTGGGTAGCCTTTTGCTGTTGTGATGATGAATGGTGTCCATAGACTGAGCTCAGTGTTGTATTATTAGAAGAGGACGGGGCTGTCATTGCTGGATCCTCCTTTTATGCTGGGAACTCTTTGCTGTTGTTGCTTGTGCTGGTTTTCACCTAATCTGGTCTAGACACATTGATAAATAATGCAGCCTGGTGTCCTGACCTGAGACCTGACATGTCAGGTACCCAGCAGAGACACCTGATAGGTATCTGTAGTCATCTGTGGGATGTAGAACGGTGTTCTCGGGTAAATGAAGACATCCGCCGTTGTAAGAGTGTATGATGGTCACACACGGTGGTGAATTTATTGCACATTGGGCCCCATGTTGCTTTTAGTTCATGGGCCCTTCTGCCAGTGTCATGTGATCATGCATAAAGACAGGGGTCTTGTGATTAACTCTGGTGAGCTGGCCCTTTAAAAGTTTGTGTGGCAGTGTTACATGATCATGCGAACACTGTGATTGGCTGTCCCAGTGATCAGGAGCCCACCCCTCTGGCTGCCAAATGTAAACAGTGACCAGGAGCTCTTGGTGTCAGCGTGATCACTGTGCTGGGAGTGAGGGCGCTCATTTGCACAAACAAGGGATGCCAACCATACACATATATATGTGCCCATTGTCATGCTGCCACATATATGTGTGTGTACAGCTAGCATCAGGGGGTTAAAGTGGTTGCAAACCTCAGGCATGAAATATGAACATAGCATATCCCTCTATAGTGTGTACTTGTCTCAATCCAGAGCACTAACTGTCATTTCTGTCTGCTGCTTCTTTTCTTTGCTATCAGCATAAGTCACTTCTGACAAGTTTTCCTGACACCAAGAGAAAAAGAGGAGACAGGGAAGGGAGCTCCAGCACTTTCCTGTGATTGGCAGCCTCAGCTCTGTTCATGTGTGCTGTGTTAAGGGGGTGTGTCTTTTCTCTCCAATCAGCTCTTAGAACTCTCACTGAGCTGTGCAGTATGTACTTTCAGCTCTCTGACCCCTTTTTTCTGAACTCTCAGACAAGCTTTATAAATTCACCACTTTGAATGGATATAGAGAAGAGTAAACTGCAGATAAACAGGCGCAAATTATGTAGGAGGATTTGTGTCATCTCTGTGTATCACTGGAGACCAGTCACTTCACTGGGTATATGTGAGGGTTTACAACCACTTTAACATAAAGACAGATCATATGGAAACAATGCTTTTAGGTATAGCGATAGAGTAGGGGAGAGATATAACTCCTGTCAATTTGTTCCCATCTTTATCCCTTTGGGGGGATTTCCTTTCACTACCTGTCCCATAGCCAAAACAAGAAATCCTTCCAAAGTGAGGGAATCCCAGGTTGTCACCAGACCTAGTGTCCTTATTGGAAGTTGTTCTCTTTTTTCTTGTTCCGGTGACAACCCAAAATTTGGGATTTTTTTCTGTTTTGGTGATAACAGTAAGCAGGAGAAATTGGGCGAATCTCTATAACTGGAGCACAGACTGCAATAAAAACTGACCTAATCCCTCTCCACTCTATCTAAAAATAACAAAAAAAAAAGTTTGTCTTTAGTTTATCCTTTAAGTCAAAACTTTTTTGTTTATATTGGGTAGAGTGTGGAATGGTTATAACCCCTGCCATCTGTATCCTTGGGGAGACTTCCATTTATTTTCTGTAGACACAAGAAGACATTATAGAAAATCTCTTAAGCCCGGGTTCACACTATGCGGCGTGGGACACAGCATGTAATTCGCACAGGAGTTACACCGCATTCCTGTGCGAATTACATGCAAATGTCTGTGGGGTGCGATTTGAGCCATACACTTTGTATGGGTCAAATCGCATGGCATCTGCACCAAAAAGGTGCAGGACCCTTTTTTAAATTCACACCTGAATTGCATTGCATGGGTGAGATCACCCGTGCAATGTGATTTCTGCCAATCGCATCGTGTTTTGCAATCTGTTTCGGATGTCATTAATTTATCATTGACAACTGCAGCAAATCGCATGAACGCAATACGATTGCAGTGCTGTACAGGAAACACACAGGATTCGCAGCGTTTCTCACACTGCATTGCTGTGAACCGGGTAGTGAGTGAAATCCTGTCTTAGGCTAGGTTCACATCTGTGCGGGTGGTGCCGCTGCGGATCTGCAGAAAAATCTGTGCAGCCGAACCACCCACACAGAGGAATGTGGGCCCGCGGGCGGGTGCCATTAATTCTAATGGTACGCCACCTGCACTGGAAATCGCAACCGCACTGGGAACCGAGGTTCCTGTGCGGGCTGCTGTTTCCAAAGGAGTGCAGGGACTTTTTCCCTGCGTGTCCCAGGGCATGGGAGTCCATTCAAATGAATGGGCTCTCGTGCCCACGCAAAATGCGGCTCACACACGGCCGCATATATGTGAACCAGGGGTAAAGCCTGGTTCACACCTATGCGTGTTGCAATCTGTGGGAAAAAAGTACTTATCCCTATCCAACAATACAGCAGCTTTAACACATGGATGTGAACATGTGCCAGAGGAAACCATGCTAAATGGACTGTAGTGAGTTTCTGCAAAACACAAAAAGCAGTAAAAAAAAAACACATTGGTGTGAACCAGGCCCTAGGCAGTTGTCACTAGAGCTGGTGTCCCCATTGGAAGACTTTTCCTCCCTTCATGTTCTGGGGACAATTCAGAAATTTGGGTTTTCTCTCTCTTACAGTCCTGGTGACAGAAATAGAAGTGCCTACACAGGCAGCAATAAAAACCTAGCAAAGGTTCTAACTCCCTTCCCCACTCCTAAACTTGAGAAAAGGTTTTGACTTTTTGAATACACTTTAAAGTTTCATTCAAAAGGATCAGTGCAGAAACTAGTGATGTCATCCCACGCAGCCAATGCCACAACCCAGTCACACAGATTCTGGCACCAGTGAAGCACCATTGCCAAGGTGAATATTTACCCTTTAGTTCCACTTGAATAAAATGTCACATGTAAACATACAGTTTCTTGTACGATAACTTGTTAAAAAATGAATTCCAAAGTGTATGAGCTCTAGTTTCATTAGTGCTCATTTACAGCAGTGGTTGGGAGTGGTAAAACCACCTGGTTGAACCACATTTTTACCACCTATCAACCACTTCCTTTTTGGGTGGAAAGGCTGGGGGTGTACACATGCTACAACTGTGATGCTACTGTAGTCTGTCATTTAGGCTGCGTTCACACTTGAGCGATTTGTAGCTTGAAGTTCGAAGCTCCAAAAACGCTCAAACTTAAAAAAATCAGTTGTTTTCTATGGTGCCTCTTTACACCTGAACAGGCACCATAGAGAACAATTGATATTTTAAAGCGGAGCTCCACCCAAAAGGGGAAGTTCTGCTTTAAGGACTGTGCCCCATTAAGGATTGGCACCTTTGGGGAGTGGGTACCCGAATTTGACAGGTACCCTCTCCCACTTCCGGTCCGATCGCCTACCCTCCCTCCCTCCCTCCCTGTAGTCTTTTGGGACACGTGACAGGTCCCAGAAGACTACAGGACCATTCACGAAGTGCAGCGCTACTGGCGCATGCGCAGTGGGTACCTGGCTGTGAAGCCGCAAGCTGTCACCACACTGAAGATGCCGACCTCCTGGAACACAGGACGGCTGGTGAAAGGGGCTGCGGGGGGGGGGACACCGCTGGACCGAGGGACAGGTAAGTGGCTGTTTTTTAAAAGTCACCAGCTACAGTTTTTGTAGCTGCTGACTTTTATTTTTTGATAGGTTGAGTGGAACTCCGCTTTAAGTTTCATCGTTTATGGAGCTTCAAGCCACAAATCGCTCAAGTGTGATCGCAGCCTCAGGGGATTAAATCAAGAGTTGAAGTGGTGAAATGACACTCTCTGAAAAACGATTCAAATGCAGATCACTCTTCAGAGAGCAACACAATTGTAAACAAGGCCTTACATTGCCTACCTTAAATTCTTAAAGCAGAACTCCTGGGGGAAAAAAATGTTTTTCTGACATGTGCTGTGTAAAAACAAAAAACTAAAAGGTCCAGATCACTGCTGTGTAAGGTAAAAATCCTAATTTATTCATGCCGGGAATTACAGCCAATGCTACACATCCAGCGCTTCAGCTGATGTTTGGAAAAGTCTACAGTGAAGTCCATTGCAGTGCATCCCATAATGCAGTGTTGGCTCTTGACAGCCTATTGAGAGGTGTCCACAATGAAAATGGGATGTGTAGGTGATGGTATTCAATGCCAGCAATTCTGAAATCATGAAGTTGTATAATGCTATGGATTCTGAAGTTATGGGTCCAAACCTGGTGGATTCTTATTTCTGGGGTTAGTCATGAGGGATTTTTAAGATACAGGTTTGATTTAAGAAGTGGTTGTATATTTGTTATTTAACCAGTATAGGGGGTATTTATGAGCCAAGACATATTCATAAAGAATGAGGTTTCAAAATGTATCTCTCCTCTCATTCTGCATTGTGATGTTGAGTTTTTGTTACCCCTCGGTGTAAACGCACCACATTAAGGCCCCTTACACACAGCCATTACGATCTGATCAGATCTGTCAGAAGAACTGACAGGTGTATCTGAAGATCCATTTGTCCCTATGGATAGCAGGGTGTAAACGGACTTATGTCCATTTACACCTGCCTACTTCCAGGTCTGACTTATGCAGGCCATACATGGGTCGAATTTCAAACTAATTTTCTTTAGAAAATCCGAAATTTTGTGCATTTTGTAATCCGATGGTACCACCATTGATTTCGAAATCCAACCAACCAAGCCTTCAGTTTCTCCTCCAGAATTTTTCGTGGCCAAGAATTTTCTTTTCTCTTTCCAGGTCACAGTTTTATATTTCTTGAACGATTTTCCCATCATTAATTTGAAGTGCATTAGTTTTTCAAAAAATTTCCAACATGCCCGATCACTCAAATTCAATGGTCACAAGAAAATCGGCCGTTTCTGTGACCCACTAATGGTGCGAAATTTGAACGAAAATTCTTAGAAAAGATTTTCGAAAGA